CAATAAAAGAAAAAAAAAAAAAAAAAAATTAAACACCGAATTATTATTCAATTAAAAGCGATATTACTATACATAAATAAATAAGCTGAAGGAATAGAAAGACAAAAATCGATCTACAGACCAGTACTAGAAGAGCTTTGCCGTCTTGGGGTTTGCAGATAGTTTTCATCATTGATGTCAACATTAAGAAAAATCTTAGACGTAGTCGAGGGCATGGCGCCATATTGGCAGTTTTGGTTGATACGGCTGCTTTGATTGGGACTGCTGTCACTTCTTCTTGCTAAACCACATGCAACCATCAACCAATTTCACACAATGATTTTTTCTACGCCTATTGCACATGTGGATTTGTTTACGAATGTGCGCTGTTATGAAATTTCTAATAAATTTCTTTTGCACCCACTTTCAATTGTATTCATTTAAATTGATACCAACAACAACAACAACAATTTTAAATGCTTGATCGCCCAAATAGCGCAATGATTTATCAAATCTACTGATCAAATCACAACAATAATATTTAATGCTACCATCTTGATGTATTAGGTAAAACTTTTTATTTAAAATGCGATACTTTATCCTCTAATAAATAATTAATAGCGCTGGTAAAGCATGAAATAAATTTATACACTGCCCGGGAGTAAAAGCTTTATATTTCAACATACACATGAGGAATATTTTTTAGTTATAACGTTGGAAATTGTAAAATATCTTACTGACGACTGATGATGCAATATAACAGACCTATAATATGTAACCAAATATAATCCTATAAGCGCATGAGAACTAAGAGCATTATGCACTAATATGAGAACTTGCTTGGTTCGGAGGGAAGCATGACTCCAAATATAAATGCTAAGTAAGACTTTCATCTACTTTTATCTACTTATCTAGAGTTAGTTTGAAATAGTTTTATTGTAGTCTTAAACTATTTATCTGTAACTAACAACTATGATAGTACTAAGGGAGACATGGCTTTGATTAGTATAGTTTCAAATTTTTTTTTTGCTATTTTGTAGAATTATTTTTTTCAAATAACCTTGAGGCTTTCGATAATGATTATTAAACATGACGAACGCATGTCAATAATATCGCAAATATGTGAGCTGTAGTTTGTACATTTATAAATATATACACCCCAACAATATTAAATTCCACGTAATTATAGCACAGTAAATACAACCTTTGTAATTTTGGGTGTCAATTATCTTAAATTTTAGATTAGATAAATTTTATAATGTCTAGATCAAAAGAATTATAATTCATTCTTCTAAGGCATATTGCAACTAAACGATGTTTGTAGAAAAAATGTACATGTATGTAGACTGCACCATTTTTAGAAATATGTAAAGTATATTTCAGTTGAATAAATAGATACAATTAGAAGGACATCGCTAAACATTGCAATGAGGTTGCATAAAAATGCTATTAGTAAGTCAAAGGGAAAAATCATCAGTATGTTAAAACAGCGTAATTTGATTAGTAATTTTTGATGTTAATCAATAAAAATGTAATAACGATAAGATAAGACTGGGAGCATGCGATGAGAAAGAGCAAATACAATCGAAACACAATTATTCAACCAATCACATGGTAAAACCAACGATTCGCTGTTAGAAACCACATAGGGAGAAAAATAATTTAATTTAAAAAAGTTTGTCGCTTCACCATTCAATAAGATATAGATTGGACTTGTAACAACATTTTGTTAGTTTATCACGAATCCTCATTACAAAATTAAATCTTACTTTTTAACGAGGTAAGCCTAATAAATTATAAACCCTTTTTATCGTCATTATTCATAGCAATAAAACCAGATCAGTACGTGTACAAGAGACGCCAGTGCAAAGATACATTTAAAAGTTTTTCTCAATTGAGAAGAGTGAATGATTTATAGTCTATAAAATGAGAAAGCATGGAAGATTCGATAATTTTTAATTTAAAAAATTGTAGTTTCAGTCTAAGCAACGCTATTAGCTGCGCCAGGTTCTAGTAAGATTTTTTCGTATTTTTTTTTGTATTTTTTTTCTTTTCGTTCTTCACGTATTTTTTTACCCTTTTATCATATATAAATTATTCGTATTCAACTTTTACAACTCATTCAAATAGTTGTTAGTTATAGTTGAAAGTACTTTTATATCGATTTTTTAATTGTATGATGAAAAAACGTAACTTTTGAGATTCGGACGATTGCCCAGCTTGCCAGTTACAGATTGTATTAGTTGAATTGAACACAGCATTTATTTTTTATTACTTGAATGATTACGAGGATTTTTTTTTTCAATATGTATGGTAGTTGTATTTTTCTTGAATACGAATTTTAATAAGATGCTGAGATACGTAATTTTTAAATTTTTTAACAATTGTATTACAGAAGAAAATTTTATCAACGCAAAAGCTTTTGAAACTTGAATTCTCTGTTGAGATTATATATTATACGCGCAAGGAGACAAACTTACACTTGCCCACAAAGGTAAAGTACACATTCACATGTATGACGCTCATGGACGTGCACATATTATGCACATTACACGGATAAATGTAATAAAATTGTGATTTCCAAAATTTCGGGCATCAAGTCAAAAAGCATTAAGTCCTTAAGTTGCGAGCAATGTTGAATACCTTAAAAGTGACCATTGTAATATTGTGTACTTATAAACGTGGAACAATTGAAGTGAGGAACGCTGGCGATTGGTCCGATCTAAATCTTTGTTTTATTTCTCGAATCTTTATTTTTTATGTTCTTATTGAATCATCCATTCATCTTTTATTGCAGTGTATTTAAGGTTTTCTGACATTTTTCTCCTACCCGTCCCAACATTATCAGACTTAATTTTGTTGTACGGGAAAAATTGCGGTAACAACAATTGTTGCTAACCGTCGTTACTATTATCATCATTCGTTTTTAGCCACTATGAGAATTTAGGGGATCAATGATCTAAATAAATGCACCACGTTCTTTGATCGTGGCAGTTTTATACACACGTATTTTTATATTTATAATTCATCGTAAGTATTTCAGTTTTTCCATTTGCTGTATCGATGTCGAAAATCGGAAAACCATGTACGCGCGCGCGCGCGTGTGTGTATGTGCGTGCGTGTGCGCATTTAGGTGTGTATATATGTGTGTAAACGTGTAATTCAGGTTTTTTAAATAATTTTTTTACTTTTTACTTTTTAGCAGTCTTGTTATCAGCTATAGGATCAGACACGGAATATCAATTTTCACTATGCTTTTTCCTTCATTACGTTTATTCTGAATGCACAATCATACCGACACCTTGGTCGATTATAAGGCTTCAACTGAGCTTAGTTTTTTCAAGTGAATATCGCCCTGAAGTTCATGCAATCTAATTAAGATAGTTCTACAATACATTCGTTCGATCTAGAATCGTCATTGTTCACAATAATTTTATAAAAAAATAAAATTAAAAATTACAATCAAATTTCGACCTACTAGGAACGCTGTAATATTGTTTATACGTGTTACTTGTAGTGCGAAAAATTATTAGGTTCTTGTGTAGAACAGCCACGCTTAGAAAGTTTAATCGTGTGTCTTACAATTGGATAATTTTGGCATGTTTGTTCACCCATACATAGTATTAATATTTATTCAAATTGGAAATTTTTTGTCGAAATCTGAATTTGAAGTAGAACTATCTCAAGTAAGACGATGACAAGCGACTTTTAGTTTGAGCGACTCCAAATGTGATAAGTACTGTTTTTTTTTTTTTCAATTTTTTTTTTTTCACAAGCGTAATTAATTTATTCTCTTAGAGAGATTAATGGGTTCCTACGATTGGCTATGTTTTTGTATCTACATGCACACGTACGAGACGGGTACACAGTTTATCGAGTATTTTATCATTAATATACGTTATAAACAGTAATGGCTCAGATTTTCATTATATCGTTACGTATTTGATTTAATTTATTAATTTTTTTTCTTTTTCAATGATCAGTACAATTCGTGGATTCGTATTCTTTTTTACTTTCACACGGACACAGACACGTATGCACGCACACACACACACACACACACACACACACACACACACTATCTACCTATTTTTGCCATATTCTTTGACTCGGTTGCCGTTTTTAGCAGTTGGAACATCGAAAAGCGTGGTTCGCAAACAATTGCTTCTACCAATCGCATCAGTCACAAAAATATCGACTAGTTTCTTTGGGCTTTACTTGTTGAACGTAAACGGAGATGGACTTGTAATGGCACTCCGGTGGAAATGCACGTTCTGCCATTTGTTGTCCTTTTTATGCCAAACTCGGCTTTCCTCGCTCTGGTGAGTGTGAGCCACGCCTTGCCTGATAGCAATCATTCATTCAAGTTTTATTCACTACTCTTACATTATCACAGAGGGCATTCAAGTTATTATTTATTTATTCATTCATACGTACTTGTCCATGTATTGGGTGAGTCTGACATAGGCGATGCAAGCCGCATCCTCGCCCAGCAGGTGCACGTGGGGATTCAGGATCGTTGTATTAACGGCCTTGCAATTTTTGGCGAGTACTAAATACAAAAGTAAAGAATCGATCGAACGGTTCCGTAATTGTGAACAATTGTTTCATCATTTCAGACTAGGATTTGAAATACAATTTCTTCTTTTTTTTTCACAAAATAAAATACTCAAATACACTTACAGTTGTCGAAGTAGAATTTGTGGAATTCCATTCCTTCTACTAGATTACCCAAAGCTTCAGGTTCGAATGCAGTCAGATGAGGATCACAGATTTTTCTGAAATTTATAACGTTATCTAAATTTGTCTGAATTATTACTTCTAATTTTGTCTCTGTGCTCAAAACTGAGACGTTGTGTTATTAAGAATTCTATAGTGAATGTATGAACTGTTCAAGCCGCGAATGAAATTATTGTATTAGTGCTTACGTGTATGCTTCGAAATCACCGGTATTGATACTCTCGATAAGTTGCTCCGTCATTTTTATGATTTCCTGTCTTCGAGCTGTAATTTTCAATGTCTTAGTAAATACAAAGTTTGATAAATCAACCATTTTTTGCCACCAATTTCTTTTTAAAACAAACAACAGCAGAACATGCATTTAATTTAGCATTTGTTATTTACAGTATCATTGTATAACGGGCGCTCTATACTTTTTTACAACATATTATAATCGTAATGACAGTCTTTATCGATCAATCAATTTATCGATTATTACGTAAGTAATGCATGTTATTTTTAGCAGTTTTTACCTATGTACTCTAAACTATCTAGAAAAATTGTTATATTAATTGATTGGTGTTACCATATGTACACTTTATGCAACGTATTCAGTTTTATTTTCCAGTTTCATAAATAACCTTGTTCAAATATGATGTACTATGAAAAAAAAAAAAAAAAGTAAAAAAATAAACAAATAAATGAGCATAAAGAAAATCATACGTGAATTAACGACTGTAAAAAGTCATAAGGTTTAAGAAGGTCAAACGTTTGTTCGATTGCTATTTTTTGTGACTACTTCTCTGTTTATGTATGATGATGCCGTAGCTCGTTGTTAATCAATTGAGATCGTATGAATGTGACAAATGCACACTCCTACACTTGAAACAATGTTATTCGAGCAAATTTTGCAATAAAACTTACACTTATGTTGACCACCACTATATCTACCACTAATATATTTTGTAAAATTGTCCATTTTTTTCATCTTTAAGAATAAACGTAAAGACGACAAATTGTAAAGATATTTTGTATAAATATCTAGCATGCTAAGGGTGAATAATATAAATATATAAAAATATTTAAATAATTTGGTAAATTTGATTGAGAGGTCGTAGCTCAGTTAAAGTCTGCTTACGTTACTGAGGTACGGCTACTCAAGTGTGACGCGGGTTCGGACTTTGGTTAGTTACCCCCGAAAGTTTTTTCAGAGTTTTTTTCGGCTTGAATAAATACCAGAGACCCACGGTTGCTTCTGATGAAGCTTTGAAAGAAAAGTTTCTCTGCACCACGACACGTCCCGTTGGATCTGTTTGGGAATTAGTCGGGAAAGATAAAAGGTTCAGGATAATAGGACCAAAAAAGAGGTGTTAGAACAAAATAATAATCAAATACCCTCCTGAAACATAAGTGGTAGATGGTGCTGCCCGTAAAAATGATTAAATAAATATTTAGGAAAGGAGGCAACAATAAAAAAGTTTTTTAAGTAAAAAAACAAAAAAAAAAATTCAAAATTTACTAAACAAGATAATATTTATGAAAAAGTTTCGATAAAAAATGCATATATATCCTTAAAGTGATCTTCGAAAAATATCAATTGTACATAATCACTATTTATGAAGGTGCAATTAAATAAGAATAAAATATATTTCACTTAAGTTTGCAAAAAAGGATGGAGCCTGCTTGTCACTCAAACTATAAAATACGCATTACCTGAACACTGGGAATTCGTCGAAAGTTGGCTGCACGTCTTGGTTGGACAGACGATTCGCATGTCTACAAGCAATATTATTATTTTTTCCGTTTATAGTTCACGCGTACAGTGTACTTATTAATAAACATTTTCCTCGCTTTTAATCAACGCAGAAGCTTATTTTCTATAGTCACAAACATATTGTTGAATAACTATAAATATCACTAGTAAAATATTTTTAGTATATAAGAATTTTTTGAATTCCTGTATTTTTCCATTTTGTAAAAAATTGTAAAAAAAATATTTTGATTTATAAATATCGTGACACTTGACGATTTATTCACTGCACTTTTGAAATTCCACAATTATTTTTATCCTTCGAATAATATCCAGTTTTACGTGCCAGAAAGTATTTCTACCAGTTGATATAACAAGTAGCTTTAATAAAAAAACAATGTTTAAATTAAAAGAGGCCTTACATATTTGTAGCTCTAGAATAAATTGTTCTAAAAGGTGTAAATCGTGCCTAAACAGTTTACGCTTTTAATACAGATAAATTATCTGAGCTAGTAGGTAATTTCTATTTTAAATGAATAACTGATGTGATTATTGAAAATACACATACCCTATGTGTAGATGAATATGTATTTCCTATATAGCCCCTGAGGCCAATAGTTGAAACGAATATTTTTGGATCCTCCTGTAATTAACTTAAGTTATATAAAAATACCCATAGGAGTATTGAATGGAGTGATTGTAAGTAAGGAAAGTACATTTTTTCTTTTAAAATCCTAAATTCCTGAAAAACTTTGCAAAATGTTTCAAAATACCATTTTTTTGCGAATAATAGCTTGAACTTGAAGGCTTTATTCGTTGAGTCGAAAACTAAATTAAGCAACAATAACACTGTATTTTACCCAATAAACGAACCGTAAGAGAAATTTTTTTCCTAGAGCAATCCTTGTTTCAAATTAACTTTAGAATCATGGTAAAGAAAAAAGTTTGAACACATTTATAACGAAAATACGGTTTTAATCTTTAAACTTCATTATCTTCAAGGGATATTATATGAATCTGTAGATCTATTTAAATGAAAAATTTGATGAATACATCCTTAGAAAAAAAAGGCAATTACACAGTGCTTTAAATCAGAAGCCTAACTAATGTTTCCAATTCCCCATTAAAATACTTTTTATTAGTTGAGAAATTATACTATCATTAGTTGTTTGTATACCATTAAAAATATCCTTTTATTATTGTATTACTATAGAATATCAAAATACATTCTAGAAAAAGCTTTATGTTTTAGCCGATCAAAATGGCGTACATTCTTGAATTATACATTAAATTGAGTAAACTATTTACATAAAAAGTTTTTTGCTATTACAGAAAAAGTTGTATACCTAAAAGTATAGTGGGTTCATATAATAAGTATAAATAGCAATAATCTTTTAGCGAAAAAGCATACACTTTTTTTTCAATTAAATGAACAACAAATATTACTCATCGTTTAATACTTATAATTTTGTATTATCGTACATAATACGTTAACCAATAATTTAAGGTATTTGTGAAATTTTAGGAATAAAACAATTATCGTTCGATTTGAAACATATTCAAATAATATCTTAATACCATAATAGTGATTGGTATTTCCATCATGTTTTTATTCATGTTGTTGTTGTGGTAGTAGTTATTGTTATGATCACGAATCCTCATTACAAAATTAAATCTTACTTTTTAACGAGGTAAGCCTAATAAATTATAAACCCTTTACTGGCTCAGCAAATTGTGCGCTCATAAAACATGTAAGTAAGACGTAACACATACATAATTTCATGCCATATAAACCTAAAAACATAATGAAAATAGAGGGAAAAAATACTTTATTAGCATACTTTGCTGTCAAACATTAATAATATGGATAATTGCATAACCTACGGCTATTTACAAAAACTATAATATGTAGAAAGAATACTGTTATCTTGGACAGAAACATATTTTACCAAGGATACCTGAGTAAATCGCAACAACACATATTTATCCAAGCTTGAACATAAAAGCTTCGGTAATTATTAAGATAAACTACACCTCCTGATGTTACAACAAGAATCTTCATCATGAGAAAGAACATTTTTGTTGGCAATTACCTTCTTACCGAGGGCGGTGATTTTCTTACCGTCTTCCAATTCACATCCTAATTGTACATAGCCTCCTGGTATCTGATGATATCCTTCGGGTTCTATTAGGCGTAAGAAGAGTTCAGCAGTTCGGACAACATGCAATGTACAAGCGCAAACAAAAATTTTAACATGCAGAAATATCTCGAACATTTTTTTAATGAAAGTTGGTGCATTTACAGGAAATCCAAACTGTCGTTTTTTCACAAACGTTATTTGACGTAATTTTAAAATAATACTTCATAAGAAATTAACAAAAATGTCAAAAATCATTTCAAATGAATCAGCAAGTAGAACATTTTTAGAGCACCGTGCAGAACTTAATCATGATTATAATTTTAATTCAAATACATGAAGCATAAGACAATTTTTTATTTTAAAAAAGTTTAATTCATCCAACATATTTTTAAAACGGTTATGGTTTAGAAAAAGTTTAAGTAGAAAAGTTGATAAAAATAAATGTCCATGTAGGAAATGTTAATGTTAAGATTAATTCAACTAACATTAAGAAATAGTATATTATCAAATTAAATTAAAGAATTCCTTTTCGGCTTGAATAAATACCAGAGACCCACGGTTGCTTCTGATGAAGCTTTGAAAGAAAAGTTTCTCTGCACCTTTAAATAATTTTTTTACTTTTTACTTTTTAGCAGTCTTGTTATCAGCTATAGGATCAGACACGGAATATCAATTTTCACTATGCTTTTTCCTTCATTACGTTTATTCTGAATGCACAATCATACCGACACCTTGGTCGATTATAAGGCTTCAACTGAGCTTAGTTTTTTCAAGTGAATATCGCCCTGAAGTTCATGCAATCTAATTAAGATAGTTCTACAATACATTCGTTCGATCTAGAATCGTCATTGTTCACAATAATTTTATAAAAAAATAAAATTAAAAATTACAATCAAATTTCGACCTACTAGGAACGCTGTANAAAAAAAAAAAAAAAATTAAACACCGAATTATTATTCAATTAAAAGCGATATTACTATACATAAATAAATAAGCTGAAGGAATAGAAAGACAAAAATCGATCTACAGACCAGTACTAGAAGAGCTTTGCCGTCTTGGGGTTTGCAGATAGTTTTCATCATTGATGTCAACATTAAGAAAAATCTTAGACGTAGTCGAGGGCATGGCGCCATATTGGCAGTTTTGGTTGATACGGCTGCTTTGATTGGGACTGCTGTCACTTCTTCTTGCTAAACCACATGCAACCATCAACCAATTTCACACAATGATTTTTTCTACGCCTATTGCACATGTGGATTTGTTTACGAATGTGCGCTGTTATGAAATTTCTAATAAATTTCTTTTGCACCCACTTTCAATTGTATTCATTTAAATTGATACCAACAACAACAACAACAATTTTAAATGCTTGATCGCCCAAATAGCGCAATGATTTATCAAATCTACTGATCAAATCACAACAATAATATTTAATGCTACCATCTTGATGTATTAGGTAAAACTTTTTATTTAAAATGCGATACTTTATCCTCTAATAAATAATTAATAGCGCTGGTAAAGCATGAAATAAATTTATACACTGCCCGGGAGTAAAAGCTTTATATTTCAACATACACATGAGGAATATTTTTTAGTTATAACGTTGGAAATTGTAAAATATCTTACTGACGACTGATGATGCAATATAACAGACCTATAATATGTAACCAAATATAATCCTATAAGCGCATGAGAACTAAGAGCATTATGCACTAATATGAGAACTTGCTTGGTTCGGAGGGAAGCATGACTCCAAATATAAATGCTAAGTAAGACTTTCATCTACTTTTATCTACTTATCTAGAGTTAGTTTGAAATAGTTTTATTGTAGTCTTAAACTATTTATCTGTAACTAACAACTATGATAGTACTAAGGGAGACATGGCTTTGATTAGTATAGTTTCAAATTTTTTTTTTGCTATTTTGTAGAATTATTTTTTTCAAATAACCTTGAGGCTTTCGATAATGATTATTAAACATGACGAACGCATGTCAATAATATCGCAAATATGTGAGCTGTAGTTTGTACATTTATAAATATATACACCCCAACAATATTAAATTCCACGTAATTATAGCACAGTAAATACAACCTTTGTAATTTTGGGTGTCAATTATCTTAAATTTTAGATTAGATAAATTTTATAATGTCTAGATCAAAAGAATTATAATTCATTCTTCTAAGGCATATTGCAACTAAACGATGTTTGTAGAAAAAATGTACATGTATGTAGACTGCACCATTTTTAGAAATATGTAAAGTATATTTCAGTTGAATAAATAGATACAATTAGAAGGACATCGCTAAACATTGCAATGAGGTTGCATAAAAATGCTATTAGTAAGTCAAAGGGAAAAATCATCAGTATGTTAAAACAGCGTAATTTGATTAGTAATTTTTGATGTTAATCAATAAAAATGTAATAACGATAAGATAAGACTGGGAGCATGCGATGAGAAAGAGCAAATACAATCGAAACACAATTATTCAACCAATCACATGGTAAAACCAACGATTCGCTGTTAGAAACCACATAGGGAGAAAAATAATTTAATTTAAAAAAGTTTGTCGCTTCACCATTCAATAAGATATAGATTGGACTTGTAACAACATTTTGTTAGTTTATATCCGGAATTGAGTTGTGTAATTTTTTTTTTTTTTTTTTCAATAAGTATGAGGAGAAGGTGGAAAATATAATCAATCCTCGTTACAATGAATAAAGAAATGCAGTTAAACTGGCTCTAAATAAAGAGACGGAAAGAGCTAGTTGGAAATATGCACCCAACAAGCCAGTTGGCATTTTTTGTGTGCAAAAATGATCACTTACAAAGTATAAACACACACGTTGATATTATTGCGTGGGAGGGCTTGTCAAATTTCTTACGAGCGAATCGTTTTCGGCACCGGAAAATCAACACGGGCAACTTTGACTCTCCGGGAGTTTACCTTGGGCACCCTGGAGGAGAACAGCGGCGATGCCGAGAGGGCTACCCGGGGGCTGCTTTTGCGCTTGAGCAGCTCCTACAACCCTCGAGAAGACCGACGCCGTTGCGGCCGGACTACTTGGCGGGGTTCCTTGCGATGCGTAAGCTGCTTTTCAAAAGCAGAACAATGATATCACAGCTTTTTTTGGCAATTTGCATTTGAGAAAGTATCGGCCGCTCAATACAATGGCATGAGTGGCCCTTTGAAAACCATGTGTTAAACTTTTTTTTTATCGGGTGTATAATGTTCAAAGACTTTTTTCGTGTCCCGGTAAAACTTTACGCCAATACACCACCTTCGTCTTACGCTACAGTTTATATTTTCATTCAAGTATTTATTTGAGCAATATTTACTGTTACTTTTATTACCATATGCATGTTTTTGTGTCAGTTTGTGTGTCGAGTCAAACGACGTTTAGTTGGGAGCCATTCCCTGCAAGCCCTATCAACTGAACCAAGTCAACTGGTGTCGGAAAATCACCAAACCAGAAAATTATTGAAAAAGAACTCAGTATTGTTAGGCGCGATAAAAGGTTCGAATTGACGAGGATCCAAAGTTGTTATCGATAATGGCCGCATGACAACACTTACATCTGTCAGATTGCTTCATGAGTCCTGTTAACACCGGAGCTACAGACATGTCTGCAATGACTGGCGAACAAAAACTTTTTTAAAAAGGACGTAATGATGTTCCCCGACACAGAAGTATATCTTTTAAGCGTAGAAATAGTCGGCGTTTCCGTCGTTTACAAACTAAATGAAATCTTTCGGTTCAAGTTTCAGCGACTTGAATGTTAGTCAAAATTAAATGAGATAGAGAAAGAGAGAGAATCCGATATTTACTGCTTCACTCTAAATTTCCCGCTTCTTTTTTCAACCTCGTTTTTGTCTGTCTCATTCGCACTTGACTTGCATTCGCGTATCAGAGTGGGTTATTTTAAGACGGGCAATAGCCGAAAATAATACCACGAGACTGTTCAAACTAGCCGCCAGTTGGTGGATGATGTTGTACGCGCGTGAAATACTCTTAGTTACAAGGTCTAAGAAATATTTATGGATTATAATTGTTGCTGTTATAATGGGATAGTACAAAAACCCCTGAGTCGTTCAAACATAAAAGGTTTTTTTTTCTTTAGTCTAATATAACCTTTTTTTTTTTTTTTTTGTTAAACCAACAAAATTAAGACTGCACATATTTAAGAACATAAAATATATCATTAAAGGAAAAAATTAGCTTAAAAAAAAAGTTGGAAAATTTATAATATCTCACTTTAACGTGATAAGTGATGTAATAATAAGTGTGACGTAAACGACTTTCAAAGTATCATTGAGTAATTTATTTTAAAAGTTATTCAGAGAACATCGGTTATTGTTACATATTTTTTTATTTCATAGCAATCCCTATAAAATATCATAGGTATTTATGTTAGTATCATTATTATTACTTCAATAACTCAACAGAAAAAATAGCTAATATTAGAAGCTCAAAAGCTGCTTAGATATTATGGTTGATTTCTAAATAATGCCAGTGTATTAGAAATCTCCGCTATATAAGAAGATTTTTTGGTTATCTATAATAAACATTAAACACGACTTACACCTCTTAAAGTACAATTCAATAATGGATGAGTTTCATCAAGTTCGAGTAAACATGAAGGTCTGTGAATTTAAAATAAGCTTCTAAAAGTTACAAAGCACGTGTTGATAGAAAAATTAGTCAAAAATATTTTTCTTTGCCAAATGCTTTTTATTTATAGCAAAAGCATAAAATGTTGATCAATGATTGAATGCTTTACAGTGGCAACTGACTTTTGAAAATATTTCGATTACAAAGAAAATCATAATTTATAGTTATTTTTATCATTAATGTATTTATGAAAGCATTCAACTTGCTTAAGTGCCGTAATGCAAGATGATTAGTTAATTTCATGATAATTATTTATTGGACAAGACTATGTGAACACACGTGGACTGATTATCTACTAGAATACTTCAAATCAATACTATTTATAAATTGTATGACTAATTGTGGTTTTACTTCAATTGCAAAATGAATAACAAAAAAAAAATTCAAACGAGCAAACAAGACTGGTTATATTGTAGGTTTTCGTTACCTTCAGGATCTTTGGCAATTACCGTGCTGCTTCTGTCGACCCCGCCTTTTTTATCCTCTGTACAACATATACACATACACATAACGTTTACAAATACGAGATGTCAATAATACTTTTTTTTTTTTTTTTTAAATTTAATTTATACATAGATTAGCATTTAAGCTACTCTACTGGACTTCTTTAAAACTTTTGAATTCAATTTCCACCAACAATAACCAGTTCTAAAATGTTTATAACGATATTTCACTACAAATCTTGTGATAATGCATATTTTTTGATGCTATATTTTTCTGGCTTAAGATATTAAAAGCTTCAAATTTATTTTTTATTGTCTCGTAAAAAAATGTACACATTAATTGGACAGGTTTTATATACATGTATTTTATTCAAGCGTATGAAGAAATTTTAATTTTAAGTAAAATACTAAATATTAAAATTTTAAGCATTTTAATAGACCATGCAATACGATAAACCAAAAGTCTCAATATAAATACAAATGAACTATTGCCTTATGTTCAAAACTAATCCAATTGCAATCAACTATTTTTCTAAGTAATCTGTTTTTGGCGTTAATTAAAGATCTAGATTTAAAAAAACATGCGATTGAATACACAAAATAGCTATGGGAAATAATGAGAAATTGTATAATGGATTGGAAATGGAAACATAAATTTTGATGGATTAAAACAATTTTTATAGAAACCGTCATTAGAAAAATTAATAAATAATCAAATACTAAATCTTAGTAAAAAGGAATACTTAACTAAAACTTACNGTAATCAAGCAACTTGAACTAAGTAAGCAGATTAAATTTTTTTTCAAGATTATTTTTTTAATTGAAAGCAAATGTTTATTGAAAATAAATTCAAACATATTGAAAAACTGTTTTTTACGAGTATTTGTTGGAATACTATTCGTAAAGGTCAAGTAGGTGATAAAATTAAATTTGAACAAAAAATTTAAAAGAAAATTTTACAAAAGTTACATATAGTTCTTTAAGCAAGCAATAACCAAATAAAATAATACACTATAGTAATGCACAAAATAAAAAATACATACATTGAAGTAGTGGAAAAAGTAAAAAAATTTAACTTGCTAAAATTAAATTCAACAAAATTTTATAATTTACATAAATGGCATGCTTATTCTATTAAAATCAATTACTGTTAATTTTCATTGTAAGTTGGAATATTGCAGTATATATTTACAAATGTATAATTAATATTTAATAGAAATAAAGAACTGAGATGTCAAATACATAGATAAAATAACTCGATAAAATTATTTTAAAGTAATAAAAAATGATGAAAGGATTTCTAATACTAAAAAGAGTTTCAAGGAATAAAAAAAAAACTACATGCAAAAATGATTAAGCAATCTAATGACTAAACAAACACAGAGTGATATTTATAACAAGCTTGTAAACTGAAACATAAAGAGTATTGTGTTAGTGAAAAAACACGTAAGAGTCGGGAAGGTCATACATATTTTTATTTCTCTTCGCAAATGTATTTGATAAATGAAGTTTTGAATAAAAAAATATACTCTCTGGTTACTATGCAATTTAAAGTATCAATCTTATCTGTTATTTTTATCTACAATACAAATCCAAAACTAAGCTTACTTTCATTTTAGTAAAAACTAGTAAATAATTTTATTACAAAAAAAGCCCATAAATTATTATATTTAAGAACACTTATGTGCAGTCTTCAAAATTCGTAATAATGTTAGTATTTAAATTTATATTTTGTGAAGCTCATTTTTTTCAATCACGGAATATGAATAATCATTTACTTTTTATAGTGAACCAACTTACTTTTAACTTTGAATAAAATTTTTTTTGAGCAGCATAATACACACAAAATCGTGTGATTATTAACATATACGACTTGATTATATTTAACTGTCACAACACTTATCTAATACTTATCAACAAATTTTACCAATAAACGCGACCTTTCATAAAATAATTTCTTACATTTACCTAGTTTATGATTAACACGTGGATAACAAATCCATTCAACTTTGTTTATATTATTATTCTGATCTAAGGTTGACTTGAATGTTTTTGAAGAGAATTAAAACATAAGACACATTGTTAATATACATGATTAACAAATACACTTGAATGCTGTATAAAAGTGTATGTGTATGAAGATGCAGTAGTAGTGATTATCTAATAAAAGTGGCTGTTGTAATAGTAATAGCAATAAAAATTGCTGCAGAGGAAATAGCAGTAGTAATAGTAGTAGTCACCGTTTTTAATAAGATTGTGTAGTGAAGTGATGATAGATCATAAATGAAAGTCACATAAAAACGGTAAATAGTTTTTGTTTGGATTACTGTATCTTTCAAATAACGTAATGATTTTTGTCTCTTACGAAACTCTGAAAATAATCAGAACTATAACTCATTGAAAAGTAAGAAGACGTATAAAATACTTGATTGCAAAACACCAAAACCTACGTTTCTGCTTTTCTACTTATTTATTTCAAAATCTTTGTTATCGAGGTACGGCACATGCCTTAAATTTAAATTAGCTACTTTTCTCAAATTGTTTTTCAAATAATTACTCGCCAATTCTAATATGTCTGTACGATACAAAATAATCATGATTTTACCATGTTATTTACAATCAAATGACTGAAATACAAATAATAGAAAAATTTTTTAAGACAAAATAAACTTAAGAAAAAGCAATCTCTGAAACCTGTCTTATTTTACTTAATTGTTTTCTAGTAATGTCATAAGATCCGTAGAACTTGAAACTTTATTCCAAAATACTGATTCAAGTAATTAAAATAAACTGAAAATGTTAATTTTATGTTTTATGGAATTTCAAACTCATGAATAAAATATTATTGTTGTTCTTTTAATTAGATAAAATACGTATAGTAAAATTGTTTATATAATACATCAGAATATCTCGCTATAAAATTTTGGCAGATTATAAAAGTATCTTTTTAAAATTAACATCGTTATTTTACAAATCATTGTAGTACTTAAGTCATTAAAAAAATTATTAAATTGTAGTTATTAAAAAATATGTAATATTTTAAAACACTCAAAGTTAAAAGTTCTACAGATTCGCCCGTATATACCCTATGCAAAAGTTATAATGATGTATAACGAATAATTTTTATACGCTGAACATACATCTAAATGAGGAAAAAAGTCTCTTTCTAAAGTAACTTACTCTTAATTTGAAAGTAATACAAGTATAAATCTTACCTCTGCCTTCATCATCTTCAAGAGTTGTGCTGCTGTCTGTAGACTCCTTTACTTGAGAGCCTTTTTTGTTGACGTCACTTCGACCTACAGTATTCGTTTATTTTAGAACGTATATTGAAAACAATTCAAAAAAATACTTACGAATCTTAAATATGAGGGTATTAAAAATGTAATGTAAAAACATAATATTCATTAACAAAAATATAATATGTTACAATTCAATGGTTTCATGGTGGATGATAATGCAATTCACCAAATTTTTACATGTTCTTGATTTTAATTTTCATCGACACAATTACAGTACATAGAAACTTTAAATTTAATTGACACAAAGGACTATGAAATTACATAAAATCAAAAAACTGTTAAGCATGTCTTATTTTATTATTTCTATCTGTCAAAAATTAATTACAATCTGTTACACCCAAGACATTATTGAAAATTCTCATATAATATAAAAAAACTAATTCTACAATGAAGGTAACATGTAGATTACATGTTCAAGAATTGAAAATCAGTTAATGAATGACTGTCAAAACATAGTTTTTACATTGCTACCATGAAAATTGATGCTACATGTAAATTTTTCGAATGAATTCTTAAATGAAAGTTTTATTTTTTAATTAAATTATTTAATGAAATTTTAATTGTAACCCAAAGGTAAGTGATTGT